AGTTTAAATCACTTGTCCGAAGATTCTATGTATGTAGAGTAGCTTTTGTGATGGTTTTAATGTATTTCCTCTTTATATAGACGACGTTCATTTTCTTGAAATAAAATTAAAGAATTGCGTTTGTTTTTTTAGTATGTCATTAACCCTGTTCGGTGGACAAACGCTGCGGCAGCATCTGGCGGTAAAATAATACACATAAAAACGGAGAGATCAAAGCTGCGGCATTTCGATGGTGAGAGAAAAAAGACGCCGACGACTTAATTTAATGCTGGACGTTGCCGCTGTTTAATCCGGAGACTGAACAGTTTGCCTTAACCTATATTCTTCAATTTGCCTTGTAAATATTGATCGCCACTGTTGCTGCAGCGCTTGTCCGCCGAACAGACCTATTGGATATGTTTACACTATTTTTGTTGGTTTTGAAAGAGCTATTGGTGGTGGATTTGAGTGATTTTATAATATGGCAGTGGCAATTCTATCTAGGTATGGTATTAGCTAAACGAAATTCTTTATACGGCTGGTGTTTGTGACGATCCCGTATCTTTTAATTATCTATCCAGTTACGTTCGTATGGTTGCATGATTTAACAGTCCAGAACACATCTTAACTTTAGGCCAAAACTGTTATACAGTCCGATATTAAGTGTCACTGTAGATTGATAACTTTTATATGTTATGCCTTTTCTCAAAAAAAAGAAAACAAACTTTATATGTAAATATAACATTTTCGTTCAAAATTTTGAACTTTTCTATATATTATAGTTTCATTGAATAATATGCCCAATTTTAAAACTAAATTTTTTATGATTAAAAATTTATATAATTAGGTTTTGTCTTAATTTAAAGAATGTTTTGGTATAAAATTTGTTTACCAAAATTTGTGGTGATATTTGTTTTTCATTAGTTTTTAGTTTCAGTTTTTCTTTTTAGATTTTGTTTTAAATTGTGGTTTTTAGTTTTTAGTTTTTAAGTTTCTATTTTTGATTTTCATCTTTTGGTTTGGGTTTTTATTTTTAGACCCGCTGAGTTAGTTTGAACTGATATTACCAACAAACAAATCTCAATTAATCGAACATGTAATTTAAAACTGAATAGATGACAAAATAATTTTCTAAATTTTTTGAAATAGTTTATTTTGTAAATAAAAAAAGCAAAAAATATAACGTACGTTTTCAGCTTTTGGTTTTGGATTTTAGTTTTTAGATTTGGTTTTTGGTTTTTGCTTTACATTTTTTTTAATCTGTAAATTATTTAAGAAAAATAAAACAATAAATTATTTAAAAGTTACCATTAAAATTTATCAAGATAGAGGGATTGTTATTTAAAATAAAAAAAATATTAACATGATTAAAGTACATGATTTAAATAAGTGATTAATAATAGACAATTTTGTTCTGTTGAAATATTAAATATTTTTGGGCTAAAAAATATTAACAAGTTTTAAAGTACATGATTAAAATAAGTGATTAATAATAGATAATTTTGTTTTGTTGTAAATATTAAATATTTTTGGGCCTGAAAATAGTAACTGACTTTTGATCCATTAATGTGGAAAGTTTATTTAATGCTTTTTGGAGTTTTTCTTTAATACTAAGCCCAAAAACCAAACAATTAAATGTCATAAAAACAAAAGTAAGCCCAAAACTCTATTCCGTAAATAACCGCCGGTTTAATTTAAGTAATACGGTTTAATCAACTATATAACTTGTATTATTTGTAACACTCTAGAAAGGGTCCAAATTTAAATGACAACTTGTATCAGTTGATAAAAATAATGACTATATTTTAATAGAGTAAATATAACTTGTATTATTTGTAACACTCTAGAAAGGATCCAAATTTAAATGACAACTTGTATCAGTAGATAAAAATAATGACTCTATTTTAATAGAGTAGATTACGAAGGTTATTTCTACTCAAAAACAAATTAATACTAATACTTTTACCAAAAAAAGAACAAACTTATACTCCGTGGATTCTTGAATTCCACTGCACATTAAAAAAAAAGTACGATGTTATTTCGTGAGCTAAAAATGTCGCTGATTTTCTAATAAACATTAAATATTATATTAAATGTCTATGATTCTTTTCTAAATAAAAATTCTCTGTGATTTTTATTAATTTATCAAAAAGACGTAAGGAATCCATTACTTTAGCCACTGCTACATACCAAGAAAAGGTTGAGTAGTCATTTTCAGTTTTTCACAAAACCAAAGTGGAGAAACAATAATTGTGTATAAAGATATTCCTCTAGAAAGTGAAACAAATAGGTCCAATTATTTATTCAGGGAACCTTTGTAGAACTTTCACATTCTTAATCATGATAACATCATTGTTGTCCATTTTGGAATATATTTCCTCTAATATTATATGTGCTTCTCTGATTAATTTGAATATGACCTCAATATATATTTCAGTGGAAGAGTTTGGGACATTTTTCGATTGGGACTGCAATAACTTGTTTTAAGTAAGAAGCAGTATAAAATTAAGTAATACAATTTTTATAATGTAGAACCTGTCTAACCTACTTTCTCTGTGATACAATTAAAATTTTATTAAATATCATAAAATAGTAGTTCATAAAATACCATAAACAGTACCAGTAAGTATTAATTTGGTTAAGCTAGAAAAATAAGCTTTTTAAGAAAAAAAATTATATTTCATCAGAGCTAGTATATTTTCAATCATTTTAAATTTAATAAATATGTTTGAGTAAAAACAAGAAAAAAATAGAACATATAACAAACAACTATAATTCACTAACTGTCTATAATAGTAAAGTGGCTAAAATATTATGTCTATTATATGTAATATTCATTGTTTCTTCTAAATTAATTATAACAATTTAACCAGACGTATTTTTCATATATTTTTTTGCTTCCATATTTTTGTCTCTTATTACTTTATTTGATATGTATTTTCTTTACCAAATAAAGTTCAATTAAATAATTATGTTTGTAAACATACATATTTTCTGTATATGGTCATAAGATATGTATATAATCCCTTAAACCCATATTAATGTTAAAAGCAAATATTTATTCAATTTTTTTTCTAAAATACAAACCTATATTTTTTGACCAACAATACAAACCATCTTTATTTGTATTCATATAATTTCACATGGTTTGTTGACTGGAACGCACGCCTATGCCCCTCTCTTTATGTTTCCCTACTTTTTTTCGCACTTGGCAGCAGCACTACATAAGAAGTTCATTTAAAATTAAAAAGTTGTTTATTGATTTCTTTAAATTTTGTTTTATATGTTGTTTGATAACTCACAATCCACTCAATATACTTGTTAAAAATTCTACCTTTAATTCAGACTTGTCAGAGATGATAATTATTCAGGTAAAAGGATCGGTGATCGAAATTTTGCCCCTTATAATTTGGGCATGTGCCTATATGAGCCACATGCTTCCACATGTCACCAAGCAGTTTGGAGCATCATCCAACATACAGACACTAGACTGTGGAAGTACATACATTTCCATTTATAAATTAAATATCATTTTAAGATTTTAGATCCACACTTGCAAAACAACACATTGTAAACATTGCATATTTCTCTAGAATTTCCTTCTCCTCTCTGAAAAAAAGCAAAACTGATGGTAGTGAATCGGTTCCAGTGGCTCTCATATCACCGGAGCCAAGTCTCATGTCTTGTTTTCTTTCGTGTTAGTACGTAGCTTGATGTCTGCAGTTGGATCTCCAAGAATAAATGATATACCATGAATTTGACCCATTTTCAACCATGGTATATAAGTGTTTTAGGATATATTTATTACGATATAGAGTATTTTTAGAATATTTACAGGTTTAGGTATGTTCTGGAGAAATATGATGATTTTAGTATTTTTAAAGCTTTTTTTAGTGCACGACTGCACAGATGAGTCATGTTTTCTTTCGTGTCAGATATTTAGCTATGGATGGACTAAACCCATATTTTGACAAAGGATAGAGCTTTTAGTTAACTTTCCAATCCCACCGGTCTGAGGTTAATCAGCATCCTGTAGTAGAAGGTATTCTCATTTTACTACAGAGAGGTCAGTCTGCCTCGCGAGAAGAAGCTGTCGAGAAAATAAAGAAAAATCGATCGATGCAGCACCATTTGTATCAATCGATGGGGATCCCAAAATACAGGCCGAGCATATTTTATGAGCAACTGAAGCCTAGAAGCAACCATAAATTACCAGAATGCCCTTAGACGACCAGAAATCCTATTTATATATGTTTTCTAAGCCACTTTCACGGTTATGCTTTCTTTGATTCATTGTTCTAAGTTTTAGGAGAGAATAGAGGAACTCCATCAGAGTCCTTCTGGAACTCTATTGGTTTTGTTTTTTTTTTATTCTATTACATCTATTCATCTATAACTTTTGTGACAAACTTCATGTCTGAATAGATCCACCTGTTAAGATTAGGGTTCTCTATAGTTCTGATGAATTAGCCCCAAAATAGGATTGCTAGAGAATTGATACCCATTTATTAGAAGTACTCTTAATGCATAGTTCACTATATCAAGATCTTAGGATTTAGGATGGACATCTTCACTGATGAAACTCTGAGAGGATTTCGTTTTTATTTATTTATAATAACCATATGCATTTACGTACTAAGTTTTACAATCAATTTTTGTTTCAGGGTGATATAATCCACTGTACGTGCAAGAGGAATTACATTCAATGTACTAAAAGAAACGTTTTCGGTGACTCCTGCTACGGGACAGTATCGTCCAACGAATCATGCATTCAAGATTTCTATCGTTGAGGATACTGAGATAACAAAAAAAATTCTTGTGTGTGATGATAACTTCTTGAGTTTTACTGGGTTTGAAAAGATTGGAAATGGAACCCTCAAAACGAATTTTCTAATTGGTTAGTGTATCAATCATATTTTTATTATTTTTGGGGTTTTCAGTGCTAATGTTTAATATGTTTTTTTCAATGTCATTGGTCAAGTGATCAGTCTTCGTGACATCCAAACTGTCCAGGTTTCGGCATGGATAAGAAGAAAGTCGAATTCCGCTTGATGGATATCAAGTAAGTTAATCTATTAAAAGAGATATTTTGACCCTTTATATCGTATTGTGTTGCTTATTGATTCTATTTTATTGAATTATAATTTCAGTGGTCAAAGCATTGCATGTTGTTTGTGGGGTAAATATGCTGAACAGCTAGAAGAACATCGCCAACAAAAAAATGATACTAATATTTATGTGCTTGCTCCGGTTTGCAAAAATATGATTTTACAAAGGTTTGAACAACATAAAACCAAAAATTCTATTTTTATTTTAATTAAATAGCATATGTATCTAATGTATATGTTATTATCATATGCTTATGTTTTATAGTGCTTATGTTTTATAGGAGAAGTTCAGGTAACCAATGCATTTGATGCATCCCTTATCCTTTTCAATCCTGAATTACCCAAAGCTCTTTCTTTTAAACACATGTAAGCTTCTTAAATACTCTATTAATGAGTTTTTATACTATAAAACATCTATTTTATTTGTATCATCCAATTGTATTTTCAGGGTGGCGCATGATGAGCTTGCTCTTGCTCTTACTGATCCAAAGAAAGAGAAGCGACTGACCAGATACCAAGTTGATGATTGGAGTGATGTCGATATTAAATCTGTCTCTGAAATCATCATGGCATCTATGGTTAATCTATCTCACATTATTAATATAATATTATATGTCTAATTAGTCTTATTATGATATGATATGATATTTCGCGGGTATATATTCTTTAGAAAGTTACTGATATTTCGGTATCTTATAATTAATAAGAAGATAATTATACTTCATGTTTAGGAAGTTAGATATATATCCACATTCAAATATTAAATAAAATTTAATTTATATATATACCTTCTTATTCTTTAGGAATATCCCCACTATATGTTTTTTTTAAAACAGAAAATCTTGGTTACAATTAAAACTTTTGATTTGTTATTAATTATAAAAAACAATTTCAATTTTTAACAAATAATGTTTATGTTTTCTTCAAAAGAAAACATAAATAAGAATCAAAATAAATTTACTTGGATACAAAAAAATATTTACTTAAAAGTAAAATACTAAAAGTTAATTAATATTTATAATATTTGGTTATATTATTACAAATTATGCTTGACGTTTTTATAGTAAAAAAATTTGTGGGTTATTCTATGAGGCGTACAAAATAACCCGCACGGATCTAGATCATAACCCGCGCAGATTTTATTTTTTGAATGTACTCTATATTACCTTTTATTTTGAAGATCATTTAGTTAGTTTATATAGTTTAACTAATTTTAGATTTACGAATAATTTGAATATTTTGACAATTGTTTTGTCAATTTTGAGGTTTCAAAAGTATTTGTATGAATGATTTCAGATTTTGGTTACAATTCGATCCAAACCGAATACGAAAGAAACCAAATTGAAATCGATCCGATAATTGGTAAAACCTGAATCAGTCTGAAAACATAATACCGAAAATTTAAAAAATTCGAATCAATCAAACCAAAACCAATGGATCTCCGAATGCCCTGACATATGATATATTTAAGAGACCAACATTTTATTCGTTATTTTACAATCGATAAAAATTATAGTGTTATAAAATGTTAAAACCGAACAAACATATAAAAACTCACTCCGTACGTGTGCGCGGCTATCATCGATATTATAGTCTAAACATTCTTATTTTGTAGAAGTTGTACTGTACATGATTTTATGTAAGAAAATTGATTAGATTCCGAATATATTTGTTCGGGCTTCAGAGAAGTATATATTCTCCATGAAATTATATATTGACAGTTTGAAGATTCGCATTGATAGCAACCAGGGACTAGTCACAAAACACAAGATGGAGAAAGGATCAAGAACCTCGATTTGTCTTCTTGTTTATTTTTTTAATCATGATACGTTAGAATCTTAATAAATAACAAAAAGTAAAAAAGAAAATGCTTCTCCTTTTTACAAAAATAAAAATAAATGATTCCCCTGTACTTGTAAACTCTTCATTCCCCACTTGTTAACTTTTTCCATTCCACCATACGTTCCAAAAAATCCATAACCTATTAAACCAAGTTAAAAATGATAAATAATCACAGATCCACAGTAGACCATGAAAATACAGAATATTTATGTGTTATGTGTATAGAATCAGAGAACTTGCCTCGTCTGGCTCCTGTAAAGAATAAGAAGCATTGGTCTCCTTCGCGTATTTGGATACAAGGATCCCAAGACCTTGTCTTTTATCTCTCAAAATCTGTTACAATATGTCACTTCAATCAATATTTATATAAATATTAATGTAAACTATATATTTTAAATAGCTTTGAATAAATTATTTGTCGAGACATTAAGAAATATATACCTTAAAGGCATCTTCGTCGGTCCGATCATCTCCAATATATATAGGGAAAACATTGGTACAATTCTCATATCCTACGCACGTCCAATACTCATTTAATTAGTGAAAATAAATAAGAAATTTTAACATCTAAACCACTAGGACTACGAGACTGTCTTTTATACCCCACCACTATATGAAGTTTGTGAACAATGAATCTACAATCGTCAATTACATAAAGTTTTACCGAGGGATTCTAACAAGAACTCAAGTGCTTTGCCTTTGTCCCATTTAATGATTGGACGAATCTCCAACACCTGAAATTAAATCAGACCGAAAAAGTAAATAATCATGATTAAGACAAAACCTTATTTAGCTAAGAGACATCCACTACTTATGAAAATAATATTTTCTCTCTAATTTTGTTAACTAAACTTACTTTTCTTCCTTGCGTAAGCATGAGCTTGGGGTAGTTCTTCAGAACTGATCGAACTAGATGGGCCAAGTCACTCCATTTCTGTTGGTTCATCATTTATATATAAGTGGTGAGTTGTTTTAAATCATATTGACACAGACATAATAAATCAACTTGAGTGTATCTGAACATAACGAACGAACGTACTAACATATCTCTTATTACTTATAAGAAATTTGATATTATATGATTTATTTTGTCCATACATTTTCGTCTACGCATCGAAAGTGAACAGAAGCACAAAACTTGTTGTTTTCTACTTTGGCTCCTTTAACCGATTTTGTTTTCTCGACTAGTTTTGTATACACCTAGAAAAAGAAAAAAATAATATAAAATTGATACAATTTACAGAAAAAAAATCATAGTTCATTGGGGTAGAATATCACCTCACTAATCACCGGAAGGAACTCCGTCGCGGGCTGACAAAGAAGAGATTGGGTTTTCTGGATTGTGTTTAAGAAATGAGTGAAAAATGAAAATTAGAAGAAAAAACCTTTATTATATAGACTATGTTTTCTGTACACTATTATCTAGACATGTATGATGTATTCATACTTTTTTGTATTTGGAATTCTGATCTGGTCCTTTGATGTCCATACCGTGACTTCCAGCATAGTACAACTCAGTTAATTTAACAAAACTATAAACCTGAAAGAACATAATTTTGTTTTGGTTAACTAATTGTGAATACGTCAAAATAAAGAACTAACAATTTATTATCCCAAAAAAACGATTTTCAAAGAGATAAAAGCTTATATATATAATACCTTCTCTCGAGATCGCCCACTAACTATGACTGTTGGAAAACACATTGCAAGTTTCCTTACGGTGTTTCGCATCTGAAACAAAGAATTCATATGTAGTTATGCGATTTAGGAAATATTTTGTTATTTTACTCGTTACCGCGTTATTTTCTTTGATGTTTTGCTATATCAAACATAAAAATACATCTTGTACAGTGTTTTTCGCTAATCTGAAAATAATTCTGAAAAGTTTATTAAGAAAATGGAGTCATACGTTGTTAGACATGAAAGCCCTATCAGGATCATCAACAATGGGGGAGAGAGTACCATCGTAATCAAGAAACATGACGATTTGTTTGCCTTCTGATTCATGAAGTATTTCTTCGAACATGTTCAAAGCTGATGGATGTTCTTTCTACAAAGTCCCAATTATCTCGTTAATAAAATACTTACAATGAAAAAAAAACAGAGGTAAGCAAGAAGACATTACGATCCAAGAAGATTGGTTGTCGAAAGGTTTGAGATGAGTAGGAGAACATGCTCTCATGGAATCAACCCATGATCTTACTAGCCCTCCTCCTCCGTTTTTTTCCTTGATCTGAAAATCTTGAAAAACTTTGGTTGCCGGGGACGTGTCTCCGTCGTCTCCTCCGGCATATAAAACTTCCGACTTAGAGATGATCTTTGTCTCCAACATTTTAGTAATATTCTCTTTGATGAATCTCACTGAAGAAATAAGATTGAAACAGAGAAAAGATAACATATCAGTAACATGTATAAATACATTGCAAGAACAAAGAATTCATTATAAGAAAAATAAGAACATAAGAACTTACCCATTTAGGATATAAATCTAAGCCTGATTTGAAGTTTATAAAATGAGACTGAATGTATGATTGGAGAGTAAGGGGATGGACTGATTTTATAGTTGCAAGAAAGTTAAAACATTTTAAAAAGTAATATTATAAACAAATGAAAATTCAGATATTGTGTTTGGAAACCATCGAGTGCGAGTCCCACTACCCTGTACACGTGTAGCCGGGTCCCTTAGGTGACTTCCTTGATGGCTTGCTTTGGATATCTTTTGGTCATTACTTATTTGGGCGCTGGTGCGTTCCCATCAAGTGTCACGTGGTCCCGTCTAATTTGATCATGCTGACACCAGAATAAATAGATTTTTTTTGGTCAAATAAATAGATTTTTTTGGAAATTAATCAAATAATTTATTTTTGACCATGACATATTTACACATACCGATTATTAAAAAAAATTAACACCTAAGAATTTTTTATTTTATAAATTCAAAGTAATTTAATCGATCAATCACCAGAAGCTGCAACAATCATTTTACATAGTTTTTAACAAATTTAGAGTTTGAAAATATGAAATTATTATATGTAAATAATCAAAGCATTATTTGTTATATTCAATTTAATAATACTAGATCATTTCTCTGCGCTATGCACAGATTATACATTTTAATATTTTATTTCTTTAAAAGTATTTTTGTAATATTATGTCCATTGAATTGTTTAAGTTTATGTTTAATTTAATAAGATATATGTACTTTTATTAATTTATTATTGAAAAAAATCCATGAAAATACATCAACTAAATATGATTAAGCATTTTAATACCTAAACTTTTTTTATTATCCATTTTCATACCTAAATTAATTATTTATTTATTTTAATACACTTAATTTTAGAACTGCACTCATTTTAATATCCAAACTATTTATAAGTCCGAATGAAAATTTAAAAAAACTTCAAAATTGATCAGAATAAATTTTAAAATTTCTCTTTTTATTTTAAGCTATAGGAATAAAGTTTCTAAACTGTGGATAATATTTAAAACTATATTATTAGTTGTAGTTTACATTTAAAATTTAGTTTCTTTCTGAAGTTTTAAATTAATTAATATAATTATATAAATAATTTTTAAATTTTAATATATTATCCACAACTTAGTTAATTTATCTAAAAGGCTGTGGCTGGAGATGAAGCGTCCATCTGCGTCCTCAAACCCAGAACCTTGATTGTTTCTCTTTCTCCGAAATGGCTATACATCTCGAATTGCTTTGCAGTTACTTCATCTCCTCAATCGCACTCAATACCATTGGATCTTTCGTGTTCAGTAGTTTTTTATCTTCCCACCAGTAATATTTAGCCACTAGTAATGGCTCCACTTACAGATTTCATATTGACGTGTACGTTTTTGTGGACAGACGCAGTAACCAACGCGTTCAACATCATCAAGAAAAAGCTCAGTTTCGCACCTATTTTGGCTCTTCCCAACTTCACACTAGTCTTTGAACTTCATTGTGATGCTTCAAATACAGGAATTGGTGCAGTTCCCAGTCAACACTATTGTCCTATTTCCTTCTTTAGTGAAAATATATCATGTGCTCGATTTCGTTATAGCATATATGACACTGAATTCTATGCGGTCGTCCAAGCTAT